GAAACACCATGAACTATTTTCAAACAAAATGATTTTTATAATTCATATATTGACCATTATACTTCCTAAAAGAATTAATATTTTTTAAAAATTTCTGATTTTACAGTAAATATAAGATTAAATACACGTATATATTGTCTTTAGGTTTCCTTACCAATAAAGAAAATCTAAAAAACTTGCCTTTTTATATATAAATAATATTTATCAGAGATAAATTTATCGTAATCATTCTTAATAGCAACCTATTCATAGGATTAATGATAAAATTAACTAATAACTAGGGATATAACCCGGGTCAGAAAATAGTGACCGGGTTAGAAATGTTGACCCGGATCATAACCCGGGTCAACAAATCGGGTGGGTAATTTTAGATTTTGCAAGAATTAGATTGGGGCGCCTACGGCTCCCCTCCTTTTCTTCTGCTGATCAATGTGGCAGAGTTTGCGTGCATTTGAGTTATCGTGATTTCTCATAAGCTATTGTAAAAATTCTCTTTAAAACTTGCTCGCTATTACAATATGTGGTTAAGGTTAAGTTAGTCTTCATCGGAATCATCACGAACTCTATCATGAGTTACGGTAAACAATTCTGTTACAAAACTTGCTCATTACCTCAGTGATTCATAGGATGTTGCTATGGTTGGGCTGGTTTGCAATTAGATACCTTATATCCTGAATTTCTGATTCAAAAATCAATATATGGCGTGCGAATATTTTATTTTTATGTCAATTATAATCGAATACATACCGGGTTGGTGAAAAGTAACTGAACAGTGACCTTTTTTTAATCACTATGATTATCATTTTAACAAATCATTGCAATAAATTAACGTTAATAAAAATTGTAGTAATTTTTAATTTATTGCAACGTTAAAATGATAATCATAGTGATTAAAAAAAGGCCACTGTTCAGTTACTTTTCACCAACCCGGTATATTGGTTGGCTTGGTTTTGACGTTAATATTAATTTGGTATGTAAATCGATATAATTAAACAAAGTTTTGACCTATTTGGGGGTTAGGCAAAATTTGACCCGTGACCCGCGGGTTGTCGACCCGCACGGGTCAACGCGACCCGGGTAACATCCCTACTAATAACTAGGCCTCCGCAAAAATTACCCGTGCGATTTCGGAATTTTTGGAGGCTACAAAAACGATGTTACACAATTGGTGCTTGAACCGAAATCGTATGTGGAGTTAGTATGATAAACCCACTTTCGGAAAACATGCTTCATTTATACCTCACATACGCTTGCTGCTAGCAGCATGCGCATGTGAGGTTGAGGTATAAATGAAGCATGTTTTTCGGAAGTGGGTTTATAATACTAACTCCACATACGATTTCGGTTCAAGCACCAATTGTGTAACATCGTTTTTATAGCCTCCAAAAATTCCGAAATCACACGGGTAATTTTTGCGGAGTCCTACTAATAATAGAAGTTGTACCCGGTACAAAATTTGAGCTCCAGGTTACTCACCCGTTTACAAAATTATTACCCGGATTATAAACCAGGTCATATTAAATAACCGGGTTACCCGATTAACCCAGTTTATTTGATTGGCTGATGCAAAATCGGAAATCACTTCACTTGTATATGGTTTTTAAAGAACTGATAGAGATAGTAATTCTTTATTATAAATATATAAAAGAAATTCCATATAAGAGCAATTAAAAGAAGAAAGATCTAGATTTATAATCATATAAAAGATAATAAATTATATATGTTAGTCAATCATGCAAAAGTTTTTATACTAAGGCTGTTAATGAAGTAGCGTACTCCAGAGCAGCTCTAACCCAAGTTGGAGTGAGTTAAAGATAAGCTGGAGTGAAATTGGAGTGAACTGGAGCAACTTTAAGCAAATCTGGAGCAGCTCTAACCCAGGTTGGAGTGAGTTAAAGATATGCTGGAGTGAAACTGGAGTGAATGTTGGAGCAACTTTAAGCAAATCTAGAGCAGCACTAACCCAAGTTGGAGTGAGTTAAAGATATGCTGGAGTGAAACTGGAGTGAACTGGAGCAACTTTAAGTAAATCTGGAGCAGCTCCGGAGTGAGCCCAACCCAAGTTGGAGTAGGTTGAGGAATTGTTCAACCCAACCCACAACTCCAACCCAATCCATTAACAACCCTTTTCTATACATATAAAATTAAAATGCATCACGTGTGTCGTCGCGTTTAACAGTTAATGGCATTATCACGTTTATTGGAAATTCAAAAGACAGTATGACGATTTTTGTGAACATACTTTGTTTTTTATTATGTTCACGTTAAAAGAAAAATAATGATCACAAATAAAACTTTATTAATTAGATAAAAGTTATTTAAGTTCACAAATGTGAACAGTACTGTATGTTCTTGTGAACACCGCAAACATATGATTTCCAACACTGGCTATGACCCGATTGACAGGTGTTAACCGGGTAATTCTTACACGGGTACAAGCTCTAACCCAATAATTGTATTCAGTAAAACCTTCTTTCACACAAATTCCGTAATAGTCATGTCGTGTAGCTTCCTGAACTACCTCGTATTGGTGGGTCTTTTCTATCTATCTTGACTCGCTTGACTATTCTTTCCGAAGACCGTGTATCGTACAGGTCCTTCCACCGATTGTATTACGTTCACACAGGTAATGGTTTATTCACTAAGAACTAAACTTATTCACGAAGCTCAAAAGCTAGAAAAAGCTTACAACTTCCAAAGCTTGGTTCTTTCCCTTTCGGGATCGATACCTTATATATTATTACTAATCGCTATTTGCGTCACTGATAATTACATACTACCTCATCGCTCATGCAATCAATGTTTTAACTTTTAATTAATTCTACGTATACCCGAATCACGCCATTCATGCAAATTGGGATCATGACCCGATCATGATCCCTGACCTGACCCTTGCGCTACGAATACCCGGGGCACCAATGTCGACCATGACAAGTAACAAATGGCAGTTTTTCCAAATTCATATATATTACCAGCTTCAGCAGATTTTAGATAATGCATAAATGTTTTATGATTATCTATTTCACTCCAATTTCTAAAAATAATAACAATATCCAACTTGATACATTCCGTTAGGATTGTTCATCTCTGCAGACTTTTGATAATGAATGAATGTCTTATTTTCGTCTAATTCCATATTCGTAACAATAACCAAGCCAGGATATTCTATCTGGATCATTTATATCAACTGATTTTAATAATCGATAAAATTCAGTTTTAATATTCCATCTGATGATTGTTGTCTGTCACTTTATATCCAAAAGATTATATACTGTATGAGAAGAATTAAATTAAACTTCATTGTTAAATTACTTTAAAGGTAACAATATATCCCAAATATATATTAAGACTACCATATACACTAAAAAAACTAAGTTGAATATTAAGTATGCGAAATTTTTGTGATTGGGCTAAACCGTTAAATTTTTATTTGCTTATCCACTTAACTAGTAATTAGCGATTGATAAATTTCACAGTTTCTTTAATATAAAATTTTATTAAGGTTAGATTTAACAAATAACTTGCATACCAAGTTTGTCAACTTAAAATATTATATATATAAGAGTAAAGTAGTTGATAAAATTTATTTTAAAGTATCTTATAACTTCATATTTGATGAATTTGGTATTAGTATTGATTATTATGAAGCCGGCTATTAAAACTATAAACAGCCAAAAAAAAGTAAGGGCTGGCTAAATGGCTGGTTTAATCAGCTTGGACCATTAAATAAATAAAAAAAAATTACTGTAAAAGGTTATATACAAGGCTCGGATCTCTTTCATTTCACCTCTCTAAATGCATAGCGTCGGGTCCATAGTAAAAATTTTTAAAAATATACATTTAGAGAGGTAAAAATATAAGTGTTATATTAAGTTGGGCCGAAAAAAGGCATGCATTTAGGGAGATTTTACATAGATATGCATTTAGGGAGGTCTGTAATTGATAAAAAATGAGTCTGATATATGGGGGATCTTGTACACGACTAGTTAAAAAAATAGATTTAGCATCATAGTTTAATATAAAAGAATTAGTTTAAAAAAATAATTATATAGCAAATTTATTTATATAATTTCTATGGTGTTTTACACCTATCTATCTATACATTATCTCAGAACTAGCTAATTAATCAGTGCGAGGTATTCTAAGTAATACACCCTTAAACCTTTCCCAAACTCTAATCCTAATATAAAAATTTATGTTAACAATTTTATATACAAAACGGAAAATCCAAAATATATAAAATAATAAAAAATTATTATTTTAAAATGTATAATATTTTTTAAAAAAAGTAATAAATTAATATAGTTATATAAGATTAATGCAAAACAATTTAGACAATACTCGGGTCTGAGAAGTAGCTAAATCTGGAGATTATAGGAGTTGTAACTTGCTTACCAGAAGTAAACTGTTTGTCTTTCGCGCGAACAAATTTTAATGTGTTAGATGAGTTTTAAAAAGAAATTTTATATTTTTCCTAAATACGTGTAAAAAAAATTGTAATTAAAAACTGAAAGCTGACCGAGCGGGTTACCTTACAATCCACATAGTATGAGAAACAATTAATTAACTTTGTGAAACTATATTAAAATATAGTATAATACTATATTAGAAGTTGCGGGTTTAAATTAAAATCTAATGAATTATAAAATTTAACAATATTAGATTCAATTTAATAAATTTTTTGGAACTGTTTTTATAATATTCATTAAAGAGAATTAAGAAATTAAATGCTAATAGATGTAAAAAAAAAAAAAAACAACTTTTTTTTAAGACAGTATTACAAACTATAATTACAATTAAAACTTGATGATAAATAATAAGAAATAACAGATTTAATTTGAATTATAAACAGAGATAATGCACATATAACATATGAAAAAGTGAAAGTGCTAATAAATTATCAATGAATATTTCCCAATTCTCAATACCCTATCATCATACCAACACTTTTAAGAAAAGTAACATCCTTCTATAATCATCTAATCTTACACATTTTAAATTTAGCAGATTTCATCATTATTATCAGGACCAAGCAATTTTGATTCATTCAAAACAATTTGCTTTTCCAAACATTCGCTGTTTATACTCATATCCACAAAATACCTATGAGGATGATAGATGGTATTCTTTTGTAAAGACCAAGTAAAATTTGGAATTACCTTGGTCAAATAAGTTCCAATCTCATCACCAAAAGTATCCAATATTGCATAACCATTTTCAGCATATGGTTTAACAATATTTACAATGCAAGCGGACTCCGGATTTACAGAAAATTTTGATTTATTACGTTGTGGAAAAACGATTTCAACGTAAATATCAAAATTATCACGAGCAGTGAGCATAGCAGACTTTAGCATTAAGATGAATGAATCAAGAGTTGAAGAAGGAGGGTATTGTTCTTTTGGTTTTGGAGGAATAGTATAAGGAATTTGAAAATAATCAAGTTCAGCTAGGATTTCTTGATAACGGACAGCATTAGGACATTGACAATGACATCGCAATTGAGGTAATAAATCTTGTGAAGGATGGTTGTCGTGAAGATTAGATTGAATATTAGATTGAATATTAGATTGAAGATTAGATTGAAGATTAGAAGGACGAATATTTTCTATGAAAAATTTTCCGGTACGATAGTATTCCAATATATAATGAAATGCACGACCATTTCTATCAAAGAAATATTCACATACACCTTTTTCATTATATGAAGGGTGAAGCAAGGCATTATTACGTTGTTGAAACATAGTACCCAATAGAGTATCAGGATAAGAAGTTAAAGTAGATCGAAAAGTTTCATACTATTCAGAAAAAAAGGGTTAATATTTCTTTAAGTAATTACTAGAAAATTCATGTAGATAGTACTAAAATAGATCACCTTAATTCCACCAACATTTAAAATTAATCTTTCATCATTATTTGGATCATCTTTTAAATCGTTCGTCACTTGTTTCAAAACCATCATATCTAGATCAGGTATGTTGTGAGACGTCATACGTACCCTGTATTTTTGTCATAGAGGGCAAAAGAAAAAAAAAACAGAGGATCGGAAAGATAAAGACGTTTGAAGAAGACTAGCGTTCGTGGTTGTACTAAAAAATAGAATTGGTAAGCCACTATTTATACAGTAACGCATAAAATAGTAATTATCATGTGATTAATTAATTATTGAACCAATGTTGATGATTGTTGGATTGATGAACATTTATGTGTATTTATGTATCGGGATGTTCATCCCGACATAACGGTACTTTACACAAAGGAGTGAACACAAATTTATAATGTATAACATATGTACGTATTCTTTTAAGATTTTCCGTAAGTTAAACCCGTGTTCGAAATAAAGGGAGGACAAGATTTGTATTAAAACAAGGGCATAATATATCAAGCATTGAAATTTACTATGATTTTACGTAAATAGGTATTGATTAATCCAAAGATAAGATGCAGTTCCTCACTCCATCCATATATCGAATTCTCAAGAACTTTAAATATTGTTGTGCTTACTTGTAATATTACAATATTACAGTATTAGAAACACATGGATAACATTATTCGACATTGAATAATAATCGACATAACAAACATGACAACGTGTTATTATCGTATTATCAAGTATATGAAAATCTCGTGAAAAAAATAAACATCCCTGTGGATTATAGCTTTAAACTCTATGAGGTAAATAATGTGGCACTTATGTATCTTAATATTAATTATTTATTACGTATTATTATTATTTTTATTATTTTTATTTCGTGAGCTCAAGCATCAGCATCAGGATAAAAACTTTAATATTCACTACGTACGACCCGGGGCACCGCAGTCAGTACAGGATGGTTTTATGGGATAACTAATACTAATAAAGAATATAGTAACAAAAAAGTAACCTCACAAATACGTAATAATGTGTCTAATGTTACACAATACCGATTATTTTATTATTTCATTATTAAAATAACGCTGAACTTTAAAAAAAAAAACCCGAGCTAACTCACAAAAGCATTAAATCGGTTAATCAGTAGATGTTTACTTTATATAAAATTTCTTTGTCGGTCTAATCAATTGTGCATAATAACAGAAGGCATTAGGATGCGTTTAAAATTGATTATTTTTAATAAATTGATTATTAATTGATAAAACACCAAGTGATTAATGAGTAATATATAGTAATATATTAACAAGCATATTAACAAGCATTAGACAACCCTGAGAGCAATTATTGATTTGTTGATTTAATGCATTTAATGCGTAATTTTATTTATTGTATACATACGTAACTTCACTATTCTTATTAATTATCTCTCAATGTATAATTGCGGAGTTTTTTTCTGAGAAGATAACCTGCAGATAATGCATCTATCCATACTTAGCGTTAGATTAACTCCGTGTATATTCATGAATTAAGTAAATATTTAAGCACCTGATTGGTTCATTTTTCACATGTTAAATACGAAAGTTATTCTCCTTAAAAATCTGAAAATAGATAATTCCATCTCTGATGCAAATATAACGATAATATTTATAATTTGTTTTTGAGTTAGTTGATATGATTTTGGCACGTGTTGGACACACCAAATGAATACTCGAAAATCTTGAAAAAATAATTATCCCACAGTGGTGAACGAAATGAATTTTAATCTACATACATGTTATCACAAGTGGAATGATTTCTTCTCTTATAGAAAATAAATTTTCTAGAATGTTGTGGTTACTGAATAATATGCACTTATACGATTATATACTTAGAATTGTTGTCCAGAACCTGTATTTCAGTGAAAATCCTTTATTGTGTCTCCTTGACTTTCTCAAGATGTAAAAACCTAACATTTGACACTTGATGCAAAAAATATTCCCGGAGTGTATGTTTATGTTCATTACCGAAATTTGTTCAAACAACTTTTTTTCACGCGTCAAAATGATAAAACTTACATAATCAACACATATTGCACTTTTTTTAAAAAAAAAGAGCTTACAGTTTCATGACATAAGATGAGATTCCAATTGCATCAATATTAAGTAAAGAGTACATTAACTGACTATGGTACTCTTTCCAATGACGAACTACATTTAGTATAGAGAATGCCCAGCCTTATAGTGGTTAATTGAAAGCTAGGGTTTTTCCATGTCAAATTTGCTTAATATTGTCTCCTTAAAACAATGTGTAACATTTTTTACATGTAACCGTAAGTGGAACAATATAAAATTTCTGAATACTAACAAACCGGAAATATTAACGCCATTGGTCATCACATCTTCTCTTCTTGAGAGATCGGAGCTAATTTCATAATGGATTTCCGAGGAAAAAGATTATTTAATACATTATAGTACTTCATACTAATGATTCGTCAACCCGAAAATTTGTTATGTAAACATCCTTCCTTTCAAGTAGCTTTTCTCCACACTTTACATAATGCCTGTATTAGACGAATGGGTCAGAGTTCATATAAATAAGCCATGCTTTGGTATATTATTTTTTTTCTCAAGACGCCAGAAATCTTATGATTATTAAAAAACATTAAAATTAAATATATATATATATATATTGCAACATGTAAGAAATAATCCTTTTAAGCACTACCCTAAGATTAAATATGTTAGATTATCAAGATTATCATAAAAAGACACGTGGAAATGCGGGTGCTCTAAGAATTACTTATAAACAACCGTTCAGGAACACCCATATTAGCCGGAAAAGACGGCAAATGTATCTCTCGATGCATACGATCGTCAAACCTTGTAAGGCCACTAAACTTCTGTTCATTCAATTTGAAGGGTTGGTAAATGGCCTTGCAGAAATAGCGCAAGGAATCGATAGAAAAGTACACAGCCTGGACGACTCGTAGAAAGCAGTTATTTTGGCTGACAGTTTCTCTCGACTATTCAAAAGTCATTGTGCTAAATATCATTTTATAATAATCGTGCTGGCTATTTATTTATTCTATTTAATAGATTCCAGTGCGCCACATAATATATGTAATTATTATAAATAATTGCATATTATATCGCATTTATTTGCGAATTTCTTCTTTTTTTTCGCACTAAATATTTATACTATAATTTACTGCACTGTCACTTTTTATGCAGTATACTGAAAGTTCGTGACATAGTATATTATACAAGTTCACGTGCATGAATTTTTTAGTCAATTTATATCTATTTTTTTAATTTTGGTTTATTATCTCCGGACCGGCCCGGTGACTATATGCCTAATTTTTTTTCATTTTATTTTTTGATGCTATTGGTTACATTATATTATTTTTTTAAATTGGCTTTTGGTTTGTTGACAATTGTGGGCCTACATCTTATCTTTTTTTTATCCCGAGTCTTTTTTTTTTTTTGAAAAAATTTTCATTTATTTCCGAGTGCCGTATTTCGTTGTTACTTAAGCAAAAAACTTCTTTTTTTTTATGTTATCTGCCGAGAATATCCTATTCAGCTCTTATATGTATATGCAATAAATAACCTTATTATGTTCATCATATGTTCTTATGATTATTTTATCAAAATAATATTAACTTTTAATAATAGTAAAATAAAATAAAATAAATAAAAAAGACAATAAATACCCCTTTAAAGATCAAAATAATGATATGAATTTAAAGTGATAAACTGTTGAATGTCCGAATCCATTGATGTTGTAATTAAAATGCATAAATCATCAATATAAGTGCATATTTCCACGTTTGAGATGGAATTATTTAACGGTACTGTAACATAAATTTATAATTTCGTTCAAATTTGATTTTACGATCCTAATCAAATTCTGTGTCAATTTATGAGTGGATAATTCTTTAATAAATTATTTGAGAGTTTGAGGCTATTCTATAAAACATGGAAGGATTTCCATATAGGTATTTCTTTAAGTGCGGACAGAAAACAAAGGTAATCGAATCAGGAAATTTGGATTGAGACGATAATTAAGTAAATTCAACTTTTTGTTTCGAGAGTGATAAACTTATCACATGATTTGACCAATAGGTAACACTGATATTGCATTATCGATATCAATGTCGCTCTATAGTGCATAAAGTTTCCAATTATTGATTTGCTAATCTATTGACATTATTGGTCTGAGGTGCTTTGGAATTGAAACATTGGATCTTGATAATATACTTGAGAGCGATTTTTATGTGCGTATCAGGTATGCACAATACGCGTCAAATAAAATCTTTGACAATCTTCACCATTTTAGGTATCGAGAATGGATTAAGGCAGAAAAAGTTCGAAAATATAAACTATACTTAATTTTTAAATCAATTAAAAGTAATAATTGGTTATATGTTTAACAGTTCTACTGTATCACCGGTCGAATGAAAATAAATCATAGCCAAATCGAGATCACATGATACCTGTATTTGAAACAAATATCTGGCGCCAATACGAGACCAATCACACACAAATCAGATACGTATCGAATCATATATCATTAACAGGTATACTTGCGATAAACCTATAAGAGAATTATCGATATGTGTCTTAACCTTATCGGTATACTGACAATGTTATCGATTTCGATATATCTGATTGGTCTCGTATCAGCGCCAAATTTCCGGTTTAATATCAGGATCATGTGATTTATTTTATTCAACTAGTGTATTGGACTAAAAGTGTAACAGAAATAGCACAAACTAGATTAATTGGACGTTTGTTGTTCAAAATTTTGGTTAAAAGTTTTTTTTTTTATTTTGTAGTAGAAACAAAATCAACTCGTCAATGAACAGATCGTTATAAATATGCATGAGTCTCAAATATAGGAAATACGTCTGAGCTATTAGTAAATTTTCACTATAGCAATACTGACTTTCACAAAAATTTAATATTTGTTCTCTGTGAATTTATAAAAAAAAAAATAATAACAATTGTAAAAAAAAAAAGATGACTACCCGTGATAATCATCTCATAGTAATCGTTCCTTCGCAACCACTCTTCCCGCCGCCTTTCACTATTGATGAACTTAAAATTACTTATGAAACTTATGTTGACGGAAGGCCTCCTAGATCACCAACGGCCTTTATCATTTATAGGACTGCCTATCAGCAGCAGTTGATTGCTGACAATAACCTTCCACCTTGGTGTATATTTTCGCATATGGCAAGCATCTCCTATAGTCGAGAACCCAGACATGTTAAGAATGCTTACGCGCATCTATCTTCTTCATTGCGATCCATGCAATAAAAGTTTTATTCATAATATGAACCACATCACGTGACATACTGTAAATCTTTAATTATGGTTTATGATATATAGTATTACGTCATAAGTTTTTTATAGAATTGTTTATCATATTATGTAAAAGCTTTGTTTAAGTAATTACAGAATTAGGCAAATTTGCTGTATCTGTTGTATTTATCTTTCTATAGTTAATCTAAGCTTTGATATATGATTAGCAATGCGATGTCTCTAGTGTAAATTATTGGTTTTAGAAAAAATGTACTTAACCAAAATAAAATCTAAATTTATAATAAATTTAGCATAAAAATATTGTATACATTTATCATTAACATTCGAATCTCTCTCAAACAAATATATTAATACAAATATAAGAGAGATACTATGGTATTCAACTTGCATAACTCAAAGTTACAGCAAGGGTTTAAACTGCGCATACATTGCACATAGTTCCCTCTTTTATCGTAACACGATAAAGCTTATTTAAATGTAATGCAAGATTATCTTTCTGAAGCAAGTAAACTTCCCATTAAAGCTTTATTACACATTTAATGTTTTTTCCATGGTTTAAATATTGTGTTCAGTTTTGTCAATTACTTTTACATGAAAGAAAAGCTAATATTTCAAGTTAAATTAGTTCATTTTAGCACCTAATTTTATATATTTTAACCTCTATAGTCTATTGAAATTCTATTTATTCTATTTTCTATTGCTCTATTGATAATTTTTAATATCAAATTAATAAGAACGAAAAAAAATTTTATATATAGCAAATATGCTCTATTGTTCTATTTGCGAACATAATTTTTTAACATCTATATATAAATTTAAACTATACTATGTATGAGTTGTATGGACAATTGTGGACATGGACTTGGACATGGTCATGTCAAAGAAGGCATATGCGAATTATTACCCTTAAATTTTGTAAAATAATAACGTAATCCAATATTATTCCAATGTGATTCCAATGAGGAATTATTAGCCACCTCTCTCTACATCCGAACTTGTTCTGAAAATTTTTGTTCGTGACAGGTGAGTTCGGTATGTATCAATACTATACGAACACGTATAAAAGATTCAGGATTACAAGTTGATCAGGGATAATCACGCACGTGACCCAAGGATTAAAACATAAAATGGATCTATAGTTTTGTTGAATTAACGGTTAAATTATTAAACAAATGACTTTTGACGACTTCAATCCCTACTTGTAGTGACACGGAATTTATGTGATTAGAATTTGTAAATTATGCGTGCGGTATATATAAAATGTTCGATTTACTGGTGATTAAAAAATGAAGGCGCGATTTAAATGATGTAAACTGAGCATAAAAAAAAATTTTATCTCAAATAATCCTTACGTAATTTACCGCCATAGCTACGTACTTCTTGGGGTTCCAATAAAACCCGCATATGATTAGTAAGCACTATTACTAATCATAACGATAGGCGGGTTTTGAATATTAGAACTCTGACATCACATGACGACAACAGATTTGACTTTCGGGTTTTGACTTTCGGGATTTTGACTTTCAGATTTTGACATAGACCCGATGCATCGCTATGGCGGTAAATTACAAAGCCTTTTTTTTAAATACTGCGCTCAACTAAAAAAAATCCAATTTTTTTAATACTGTACTCAACTGTTCTGTATATGATTATCATCGTTAATTAAAAAATACTGTTTTAAATATAAACAAAAATTGATTTATTCATCGTTAATTTAAAAAGCACTTGCTTTAAATAAAATTTTGTAATTCTGGATCCATACAACAAAATAATAAAATGTTTTTTCTTAAGACAAATGATTTATTTTAAGCTTTAATGTCATTTTTCACACTTTAACATACTATAAACCGCTATTTAATTTACTCGCATTTTAACATACTATTAAAAAATATTTTATTTCACATTTTAAACATACTATTAATCGGTTTATATAATAGTTAAATATACAGGCTGAATCAAGATGATAATTAATACATGTGACATTGATATAATATAAATTGTGAAAAATATGCGATTTAGTGCGATTTGGTTTAATCACACTAAATCACATGTGTCCTTGCCTACCGTGATCAAACTGATAAGTGGCTTTGCACATCCCTTTCAATTTCAACTTCACACAGTCACTCCTCAATTCTCCGCAGCAAAAATGTTATAGATCAACATTATAATACGACAGGGTGAAACCTGAGTTGCCAGCCAGTAAAACCCGTGTTTATCAATTACATAATGTAAATCTGAGATGATCGTGTAAAAACCTGAGTTTAGTTATTAGCGTTAGAATAGGTAAAATCTGCTTTTATTAAAAGCATTTATACAAACCCGCCTTTAATTAGATAAAATTCGCTTCTTCTTTTTTTTTTTATAATGTAAAACCTGTCTTTATTAAGTAAAATCTGTAAACGCGAACAAACTTTTGCTCACATTAATATATATACAGTATATAAGGTAAATGGGTATTTTGACATATTACACGGAATCAGGATTTTTTTTCAAAGTAAATCTAACTTTACTTACTAAGTAAAGTTTCTCAACATACCATTTTTTACTTTTGGTGCAATTCGAATAACCTTTTATTAATAAGTTTTTTCATATACGTTCCAACACAGAAAATTGATGGGATCCAATCAACTCACCAACAATCACTTCGTAGACACCACATTTCACTGACAATTACTTACCAACAAGTTCATTTCACTGACAGTTTATTTCATCGAAGCTCATTTTACAGACAAAGTAATTCTGGTCGATATTTTTAGGGTTAGGTTAGAAATAGATTTAAATTTAGTGTAATTTATAAAAAAAAACTTGTCAATGAAAATGAGCTTTGATGAAGTAGACTATCGGTAAAATGAAATTGTCGATGAATAATTTTAAATGAAACAGATACAAAATTGATTTACTGCGCCAAAATGTATAACGAAAAAAACTATTAGAAATTTGATGGTAAGTAAAAGATGGTATGTTGAACAACTTACTTAGTAAGTAAAGTTAGTTTTACTTGGGAAAAATCCTGGTTCTTAAAAAAAAAAGATACTTAACTAAAGAAAAAATCATAAAATGTATTATCAATTATTAAAGATCTATTATGTTTGTCATTTTACTCTCATAAATAAAAAAGTGTAGTTTTCTAAATAATATCACGCAGTTTAAATGGGATTCCATCAACTCACTGACAATCACTTCGTAGGCACCACATTTCACTGACAATTACTTACCGACAAGTTCATTTCACCGACAGTTTATTTCACCGAAGCTCATAACATCAGAGCTTTGATGAAATAGACTATCGGTAAAATGAAATTGTCGATGAATAATTTCAGAATTTTAAATGATTGTCGGTGAAACAGATACAAAATTGATTTACTGCGTCAAAAATGTATAACAAAAAAAACTATTAGAAAAAGGTCATTCGAATTTTATTAAAATTTGAGGGTAAGTAAAAGATGGTATGTTGAACAACTTACTTAGTAAGTAAAGTTAGTTTTACTTGGGAAAAATCCTGGTTTTGTTAAAAAAGAAAAGACTCTTAACTAAAGAAAAAATCATAAAATGTATTATCAATTATTAAAGATCTATTATGTTTGTCATTTTACTCTCATAAA